GCCAATGGCCGAAAGAAAGAAGTCTCTACTGAAGTAAAGATCAAGAAGTTGGAGTTGAACTAATATGCATCTCTGGAATTTCTGCTCAAGTTTTGAATTTGCAACAATATGATGCCATTTTAGGAAAGCCTTGGTTGTTCCAAGTCAACCCTAATATTGACTGGAGAGTCAATACGTTATCCTTCTCAAATGGACCATACCACATCACCATTAATGCGAGTGTCAACTGGGCTAATAAGAATCTCATGTGTAATTCTATTTTCATTTCCAGACACCAACTTGCCAGGACACCACTTGAAGAAGAACTGTATGCTATGTGTGCCACCCAAGAGAAAGGCACCCCTGAAGAAATCCAACTTTCACCAGAAGAAGCTGCAATTATCAAAGAATTTGCTAACGTATTTTCACCAGAGCTACCTAATAAATTGCTGCCCAGAAGAAAGATCGACCATGCTATAGATTTGCTGCCAGGAGCTGAACCACCGTCAAGACCCACCTACCATTTGTCTTATGTGAAAATGGATGAACTTAAGCAATAGTTGGCCAAGTTATCAAACAAAGGATTCATCAAACCGAGCATTTCTCCCTTTGGTGCCCCAGTACTTTTTGTACACAAAAAAGAAGGAATGTTAAGACTATGTGTCGACTATATAAGGTTACTATCAAGAACTGGTACCCCCTACCCCGGATTGAGGAACTTATGGATTGGTTGGCTGGAGCCAAATACTTCAGTAAAATCGACCTGTATTTCGGATATCACCAAATCCACATCAAAGATAAAGATATACCAAAGACCGCTTTCAGAATCAGATACAGCCATTAAGAGTTCCTTGTATTGCCTTTTGGATTGACCAATGCCCCCACAATGTTTATGACGCTGATAAATGATATTTTTCAGAAGTACCTGAATGATTTTGTCATCGTGTACCTGGACGATATTCTGATTTATAGCAAAACCAAAGAAGACTACCTGCGACACTTGAAGACCATCTTGACCACTCTGCAACAACACCAACTCTATGCCAAAGCCAAGAAGTGTGAATTGCTGTGCTCAAAAGTTGAATACACTGTGTACTACATCTCGGCTGAAGGAATTACTGTGGATTCCCGAAAGATTACCACCATTCAGAATTGGCCGGTACCTACCAACATATCAGAAGTCAGATCCTTTCTAGAATTAGCAAGTTATTATAGGAAGTTCATTCAAGGATTTTCTGCTCTTGCCACCTCTCTCATTGCCCTCCTGCACAAGGACAAGGAATTTGTATAGAACTCTGCGGAACAAGAAGCATTTGAGAAACTCAAAAAAGCCCTCACCATGGCTCCAGTTTTGCTCTTGCCTAATTCAAACAAACCCTTCACTGTTACCACAGATGCCTCTGACTTTGCCATTGGAGCTGTCCTAATCCAAGACCAAGGAAAAGAAGAACAGCCAGTTACGTATGACTCTAGAAAGTTGTTCTCAGCCGAACAAAACTACCCTGTGTATGAAAAGGAGCTGTTAGCTATAGTGCATGCTATCAGATTCTGGCGCATGTATTTGGAAGGACAATGTTTCACTGTCATCACTAACCATGCCTTTCTGGAATATATCAAGACCCAATCAAATTTGTCCAGATGACAAGCCAGATGGTTAGTGACCCTCCAAGCCAATGATTTCAAAGTCATATACCGATCAGAAAAGACCAACGTTGTAGCAGACACCCTCTCTAGACAGCCACACCTCACCGCTATCTCCACACTTGCCATCAGATTAGCAGATGATAAAACCTTTGAGGAAGGATATATCAATAACAAGTATTTCTCCAAAATTCTGATGACCTTGAGAGACCCAACCCAAGCCACCGAAAAAGACAAAGCCCATGCAAAATATTTTGAATTGGATGCCAATCACATCTACCTGAAGAAAGACTACCACCTAGCCATTCCCAAGGATAAGATATTGAGAAGTCACATCCTGAAAGAACACCATGACATTGACATTGCCGGACACCCGGGTATTGACAAGACCTTGGATGCTATCATGAGAAGTTACTATTGGCCCAAGATGAGTAAGAACATATGAAAATATGTGCTAATATGTGATCTGTGCTAACAAAACAAACCTAGCAACCAGCAACCTGCCAGACTACTACAATCTTTGCCAATGCCGAACTATAAATGGGAAGAAGTCACCATGGATTTTATCATCCAACTACCCCTTACCAAGAAGGAACATGATGCCATTGCTGTGTTTATTAACCGCCTATCCAAGAGAGCCTACTTTTGTCCAATGCATACCTTGGCCACTGCGCCGGAAGTCACCAAGATCTTTTTCTCTGAAATCTTCAAGCACCATGGATTACCAAGAGCCATTGTGTCAGATAGAAATGCTCGATTCACCAGCCATTTTTGGCAAGCCTTGTTTCAACAACTGGGTACAAAGATTGCTATGTCAACAGCATTTCACCCCTAAACAGATGGACAGACAGAACATCTCAACAGAACCCTGGAGGATATGCTACACATATATGCCACCTACAAGCAAGACCAATGGGATGAGTACTTGCCTGCTGCCGAGTTCGCATACAACAATGCCAAACAAACATCAATAGATTTCATGCCATTCGAGTTAGATTGTAGACAACACCCCAAGATACCCCTGATACTTGCGACACCAACCTCTGTGCCGACCGCCAACGATTTCATGCATCACTGGAACACCATGATAAAAATTGCCAAAGATACTCTGATGGAAGCACAAGATCACCAAACAAAATATGCCAATCAATATCGACGCCACCTGACATTTCAAGAAGAAAACCAAGTATTACTATCCCTGTGAAATTTTAACAACCCTGTGAATCAAAACTGTCCTATCAAAAAGCTGACACCAAGATTTGTTGGACTATATACTATCATCAAGGTGATCTCAGAAACTGCCTACAAGTTGGAGCTGCTTGCCATTTTAAAGATCCACCTGGTGTTCCACGTCTCTCTACTTAAACCATACAAGCCATCACCAAAGGAATTTGAAAGACCAATACCATCACCAGCCACTTACATCCCTGCAACCGGGACAGAGGAATATGAAGTAGAAGCCATTCTGGACAAGCAAGTTGTCCAAAACAAGCCTTAATACCTTGTCAAATGGACTGGATATCCCTTATATGATACCACCTGGGAACCCCAAGAAAATCTGATCAATGCCCAAGAAAAACTTCAAGAATTTGAGTCGACGAGAACATTAAATTCTAAGGAGGGGAGAATGTAACAATATTGACCTTGATTGCACCACAGGACTATACTGCGCCTGTAAACCAAATGCTCCGAAAGGTATCTGATCCATTCCCTAATGACCTGCAAGTCTGAGATACGTTCCTAGACGACTGTCAGACATATGTATAGTGCGATTCTGACCTCTGATGATGTGACATGCCATCAAGCGCCACTAATTAAATTACTATGAGTTAATATAACCAAATTAAGAGCTAAGGCCATAGAGTGTACATATCTTTTTTCTTTTATTTCTTTTTATTTACTTTTTCATTTTATTATGTTAATTAAGTATATATGTCTCCGGAGGTTAAGCCCAATATAGATATATGTATTTTTATATTTATTTATTTATGTATTTTTATATTGTATGAAGTCGACATGTATAAAAGGATGCCCGTTTGACCTTAATAAAGTTCCAACTCTGTTGGCATTTAAATTACAATCACTAAAGTTCACTGTCTTTCTAAATTACTAAAAATTTATTTAAGACTTTTACATACAGTAAAGTGAAAAAATTGTTATAGTAAGAATATAGGTTATCTTAAATAAACTTTGTAATTATATAATTGAATATAAATAACTTAATAAAGCTTATATGCTACTAGTACTCTTTACCTGAAAAAAAAAAAAGAATTAGATATTATAATAGCTTACTTTTTTATTAATTTTGAATCTTTTATTAGATTTTATTAAATTTGATTTCAATTTTTTAGATTTAAATAAATAAATTAACTATAATAAAATATAGATTTATATTTTAATATTTTGTTTTTATATTAAAAACAATAATAGTATATATTTATATAACTTTAATTACTTTGTTTGATTAACTTATTGTAAAAAATATTATTGTTTAATAGGTAATATATAAAAAATATAAATTTAACAATATAAAAAAAGTAGTTATTAAATGAATTATTAAATTTTACAAAAATCAAAAAATGACTTAATTACTTAATAATTTTTATTGATACTTTTTTTTAAAAAATTTAATTGATTATTTATTTATCTAATATTTTATTGATTAATAATTATAATATAATTGTAATATTGTAATTAAAGATAAATCCTTAAATTATTTAGTATATAAAATTTTACAGATCAATTATATTTCTTCAAAAGGAATATAATTATTTATTTATTATTTTAATAAGAACATAATTCAAAAAACATTTGAATCAAATAATTTAAATTACAAAAAATCTTTATAGATAATTTTTTTTTAATCTTATATTTAAAAAAAAACTTTTTTAATAGTAAGAGATATTTAAATTATATTCTCACCTTTAATTTAGAGACCTATTTTTAATTGCAACAGCTTCATGTGTTTAGGTAATCAAATTACTTCTAAATAATTAGATGCTACTTAAGGTTTTAATATAATTTTTGAAATTCTTTTTATTATATTTCTTGAATGATACTAGAAGTATAAATAAGAAATCATTGAGTCTTGCATTTAACTCTTTTTAATTAAAAGAAACATATATCATTCTGTAAAAATTGTAATCTTGTTTCAAGTCTAAAAATTATAATAAAAAATGCAAAGAAGAATTATCATTTTGTCTTCTTAAAAAAAATAAAAATAAAAAAATAAAAAAAATTTTTTTTATTTGATTTGGCTAATCACCTCATTGGTTACACGAGTACTAATTTGAAAATTGATGAAATTTACTCACTCGCTGACGAGTTTTTAATAAAGAATGCAAAGAATTTCCAATACTGATCTCGACGCATGAAGAAACATGAATCAAGACTCTAATAAGCGATCGCCGTCTCAATCCATTATTACGATCACTGATGATTTGACTTTCAGTGAGGAATACCATTGTTCTTCGCACTCGGTGCAAAATGTCGAAGCCTCGGAGGATCAAAATTCAGGGCAAAAGGAACTTAATATTGATTCGCAAAACGATCTTTCGCTGTCTCCTGTTCGAGAAGATATAAATAATACCAAAACAGACAGAGCTGAATTATATATCATCCCAGAAGAAATCGAAGATTCTAATTTACATGCTGAATATGCTTCCTTGTCTCCCCCCATTAACTCATTTTCGGCTGATGAAGATTTAAGTATTCCAGATTTTGTATGCGCTGAGCCTAATTTTGACTGGTCAAATGGAAATAATGCATCAGTGCATCCTTTGTTAGATAATATAAGCGACACGGCATACATTTCCACTGAAGATGGAATTACAGCATCTGATTTTTCTCAAAAGAAAGAAAAAACGTGGTATCTTGATGTTGGGGAACCATCAGACTTGATTAACGTTAGAAAATTCTTAGAATCTTTCAGTATAGAGTTAAAATGTCAAGAAGATAATATTCAAAAG